CACAAACAGTGTACATCCCGAGGCTTTTTAGTTGGTTACCTGATTTTGCTCAGCGAATATAATTGGGGGCTTTATACATGTACTTATAGACTTTACTCACGAGTTGGCCATATTAAATTGAAAGCGAGGTAAACTGCTATTTTTGGAATTTGCGATTAGAAATGAAAATAATGAAATGAAAGTTCATTACAAAATTGATATCAGTCTGCTCTGATGAATAATAAAAAATTTGTGATAACAAACATACCTGGGCCCAATTTCATGGCACTGCTAACCACTCCGCGCTTATGATCACTATTTTATGCTAACCGCACTATCAGAAAGATTCTGTGCTAACCCTGTAACTTGTAAGCACAGAATACTTACATGTAGTTATGGGACGTACGCATGTGCAGAAGCCGAAATTCCTAGCTAACACGTGAAAAACGCTTACTGTAAGCACAGAATGTTCTGCTATAGTAAGCAGGTTTTTTTTTCACCAACTGTAAGCAGAGCCAAAAGATTGGGCCCTAATGTTTGAAGCCACATTTAAAAAAAATGGAAAGCTAGGTTTGGAACGCATTTCAATCATAAAATAGTCTGGCACCATCCCATTCAACAGTTTACAATTTATGAAATAGATTCAGGGAACACGATCGAAAACGGCTTCTGCTGGAGTAAGGGCTACAGGACTGTGTCCAAATTATTGGCTGTGGCTTAAAATTACACACGAGTCTATGGGAAGTACATACAATGTGCAATGTAGCCGCAGCCGCTAGCATATAGACACGTGTGTAGCCTGGTAATTTGGACACGGCGTAGGTTACCAGCTTAGCCACAGGGCACGATATAATGCCACTTTGCAACCAATTTTGAGGTCACAAAGGGGGAGATTATTTTCTTGTTTTTTATTCTTCCCCAAGGATCTGTTGTTTTGCTTCCATGTCTGCATGTCAATGCATGTATGCCTGTTATTTTGTTCACTGTTTGTAAAATGAATTTTATTTAATGATCTGTCACTATTAGTCAGTGCGCTTGACCAAATCTAATTCCTTTTCTCTTGTACTGAATTTTAAATGTGTAAGTTTTATGTAAATGAAATAGTGCTGTTTCCCCCCCCCCCCCCTGTTTTTTTAATAAATCTGCAACACTGAAAGGCTTTTAAATGTAGCCTACATGTACCGCGCCGGTACATTGAGCTTGGTTTCTTTTTGCACACAAACAGATGCACCATGTGTTTACATTGTACATGTACAGGTAGGTTGGTTCCTATGCTATGTACAGCACTACACATGTACATGTACAATGTACCGGTAGGCCTACAATGTCATTATTGTAATTCAACTCATATACATTGTAGATTCAACACCCGATTTCTCGAAACTCATCGTAACTTAAAATGTATCGCAACGATGCGACATACGTCATATCCCTACGATGCATCGCAGCTGGGACGCGTTTTGCGATTTATTTCACAAATCGAGTCGTAAGTGTATTTATAGTACAACACGGTGACTGTTAGGTATTCTTCAGCGAACAGTTAACAGTCGTCTGATATTCAACAAAGAGTTGTGTGAACAAAATGGCGGACGTTTGATGCAGTTTTAAAGGAAAACAAGCTTGCAGTGGACTGTACAGCTACTTTCAAATTCCAACTGCAATATTCCAGGCTAATTCATAATTACTTCAATGCATTTTCAATTTACAACTTTACGCACATTGTCTCGGTATTTAAGTCTTGTTTATGTCATTTTTATGTCATAAAACTGGCTAAGAAAAGGACGCTTCTTAATTTGCGATGACCACTAAGGCACGTACCATCTTGCGACCTGTTTTAAGTCGTTGTCAAGGAACTTACGACATGTTCAACACATCGCAAGTTTTGTGAAATGGATCATACGACACGCCGCGAGTTACGACGTGTCACAGGGTTGCAACGCTTTGATTATCCCCAATGACCCGTGACCCACATCATTGTGTGCATGCACAGTTGAAATACCGAACTGGTTTATTGCTAAAAGGATCACTTTCACATCATAAAAAAATTGCACACGAAAAACAAACGTGTTTATTTTCGCAAGTGCTAGCTATCTCTGAAAATACTATCTTTGAACAGTTGAAATAAGTGTACATGTATTTGTACATTGTATTTTCATTAAAACTTCAGAAAATCAAAGTACATTTTAGTTTCTTTAAAACTTCAGAAAATCTAATTACACAGTTTATGCCGTATCTTACATGACGTTTACCGGTACCACGAAGCTATCAAAAGTGCCTTACAATGTATACACAAATGTTCATGTGCAATGTTATGCATATTTTTATGTGTGTCAATGGCCGGTTCAAATGTTTACATAATGTGGTGAAATAAAGAGCAAAACCAACTTGTAACAACAAGGGCAAACATCATTAGTTGATTGACGTCATGAAATCCACTTGCTAATGTTGCTTTAATGGTTTTGCTTTCATATGAAAGTATATGTATACATGTACTTGTACAGGTACTGGGGTAAGAACGGTGTACATGTATCTGTAATGTGTGTGTACAGTTAAGATTTCATTGTGCTCATGTATACATGTATGTACATGTACATGTATGTGTACACGTTTTGTGAATGTATACAAATGTATACATTTACCAGTACAGTACCTGTACAGGTATTTCAATGCAGAATCATGTATACATGTACATGTTAAATTTGTACACTTGTACTTTTTTTTGTACATAGTATACATGTATGTATGTACTGTACATGTAGGCGATTCTATACAATGTAGGGTCTAAAGTGTGACTTTTGCTTGCCCCTGTTATGTATGTGTACCTTGGAACTTTTTAATTTGCCATTCAAGTATCATTAAGAATGACAAACAGTTTTTTAATTTGTTGGGTACATGTACACGTTGCCATTCATTATCACTCCAGAGGCTGACTGCATTAAGGAGTGCATTCAGAATAATTAAGTTATACATGTACATGCACCGGTACATGTCAAATATGTAACAGGGAAAAGTGAACTCAAATTATGACCGTTACTGCATGCATCGGGTTTGGGTTAACCAGGCCAAACGTAACCGACCCAAAACAATTGAATCCGAACTAAAACCGATCTGAACTCCCTAAAACCGACCCGACCTGACTTGACCCGACCTAGCCTTGTTCAATGCGGTCCTTCGGCTTTTTGTCGAAGGGAGATAATCGGGCCCTTCACCCGTACCCACAATCAACGCGGCTACGTGCGTGTATGACCCTTGTCCGTACGAACGGCATATACAACCAGCAAGCACACACACGTGAGTACGGACTGTACGCATGGTGTAATAAGGCAGTAAATGTAGGCCTACTGTGTTCTGCGTGTGGGTGTACGTACGTGCGTGTGGGGGATATACGCGCCGCGTGGCCTGTCGAACGACCACCTTGTTGGGTCTGCAACTTCCGGGTTTAATGTCTTTCTTTACCTTTTCGTCCAGTTTTGGAAAAAAATGGGCGGGCTTCAGGATATGCGGGTATGCCGTGATGATTATGTAGATTCGTCTTGGACCAATCACATGAAACAACCTTCCCAATAGTATGATTAATTCATTTTTAAGCTGACCAATTGTAAGCTTCACAAGAATCATGTGATGTCACGCGGCATGCATAATGCATTAGTTATCATGGCGTCTTCCATGTCTTTTAAGCGAGAGCGAAATGTTCGTCACTTTTTCAACAATTTGACATTGATACGAGTTTTTCGGCTCGTGTAATGAATCCATTTGAGTGGGCAACGAACGTCTAATGACAGCATTACCTGCAGAATTCGTTGGAGCCTTCAATACTGCTTCGGACAGACTGGGACTGAACGACTTTCACCCACAGCAACGGGCCGCCATTGCAGCGTTTCTTCGCGGATGCGACGTGTTTGTTAGCCTATCGCGGGCTGACCAATGAGAATTCAGTATATGCGGGGGTGGTACCTCATTACCGTAATAGGTTTTCCTGGGTCAACTCAAAACCATCAAGGCGTTGGGTTACGCGGACTGGCTCATGCATGTACTGTGTGTGCATGGCTGTTGTACGAGTACGTGTGTGTACATGTACGTGCGTACGTGCAAGCATAGCCTCGCTGTATGGTACAAGTTACTTTCTCACTAGCAGCGTACGGGCATTGATATGTGCACGCAATTATGCCAAGTTGATTAGGGATTTTCTTATCGGCGATTTTTTTTTATTGGCGAATTGATAAGCCCAACGCCTTGGTCAAGGCTAGACCCGACCCAACAAAAATTCAAGGAAAACCAAACCGACGTGAAACCGAACCGACAGTGACCGACCCGAAAGAAATTTAAAAAAATATCTGGCTATTAAGGCATCTGTGTCCGATTTTTATGCCTGAACATACTCGCGTTGCGTAAAAATAGTCGGCTCTCAGCAACGGAATAATTCAGGGCATACGTTACTCACAACGTGACCTACAAAATGTACTGGTGGGCCTGAATGTTATAGACCCTGCGTGATAGATTGCAAATCATTCGTACCGGGCACAGTGACTCTTTAATAAACATTGCACTGTGTGAATTTCCAAACTTTTTTTTTTCCCCCGGTTTATTTCAAGTTTTTCCAAAATGGGTCAACCGACCCAACCCGACCCGAATTTCGCAACGCAAACAGAAACCAACCCTATGGGCTCCGTGCACCGACAAAAGAGGGTGCCCTTTTACCTAGCAATGACGTCCCATGGGCGGGACATTTCGCTAGTTGACACGCACTGTTCCTTTGTGTGTGACGCACGCACACCAGGGGATTTGTTCTATGTACACGCAGTGGCCGCGCTTCGCAGCAAATGAATTGCAGTCAGGCAAGATGGCGTTGGTCGGTCACCCCCAACTGTACTCTCTTTGTCGGTGAGGGGGTACTTGTGAACGGAGCAGGGACAAACCGGCCCAATCCGTGGATTAAGTGTTTTTTGGCCTAGTTGATTTGAAAAAACAAAGCTAGCCTAAATATTTATTAAAAATTGGTCTCTATGTCTCTCTGTAGGTTGCCATCAAGATAATAGACAAGACGCAACTGGACGAGGAGAATTTGAAGAAGATTGTTCGAGAGGTGCAGGTGATGAAGCAACTTAGGCATCCGCACGTCGTCCGTCTTTATCAAGTCATGGAAACAGAGAGGAACATGTACTTAGTCACCGAGTATGCCAGCGGTGGCGAAATATTCGGTAGGCTGTTGTGGCAGTGTTAGAGCTGTGACGTTACGTTTAATGTTGTATATGTTTAAACTTTTTTTTTTTGCTGTTTAAGTGTTTAAAGGGCTCACTAAGGCCAAAAAAAACAGTCTCCGGTTTCTGGTATGGCATGTATGGGCGCGCGTCGCCGTAGCCATGCGCGTCGGCAAAATGAAAAAGGTTTTTTTTCAATGAAAGATGATGTCTCAAAACAGCCAAACTCACTGGTTTGACTGGAATCCTGCTGCTGCACAATTTTAACGTGTTTTTAGATTGGTCGACGATAAGCTTTATGTGGCCTCTCTGGACTCCCATTTTTTTGCACTAAGTTTAGTCGGGCACCATTTGCAGTCATCAGCCGACATTTGAAGTAAAAAAATCAGGTTAAAAAAAAAAAAAGCCGCGTCGCCGCACCACTTTTTGGTCAAGCTCCATGACAGAAACCGGCGACTATTTTTTTTGGGCCTAATTGATCTTTTTTTTTAATGCAATACTGGAAAATGCACCTTTAAATGCACATGTACATGTTCCATAAGTTTGTTTTCAGTCTTCAATACTTGGCGGTGTCAACTGTGTTTGATGCCTGTTTGTTAGTTATGCTAATGAGAAATTCTGCATTCATGAGCAAAAGCAAAATATGATTCGATAAAAATGATATGATAAAAATGTCAGTGTTAGAACTTATTTAACAGCACAAACATTTGCTGGAAGTTTAGATTTTTTTATGGTGGTTCATTGTCGTTTCAGTACATCCAGTGCAAGTCAGTCAGATATTTTTAAACAAATGTTTTCGAAGAATTTGTGGGCTAGGGCTGTCCATTTGGCACGACACACACACACGCGCGGTTGTTATAATTCGTCGGATCCATAGATCAGTGCGCGACATCGCGTAGCTGCAATCAGCTCAGTGAGAACGTGTCTCAGACGCTGAATTCAGGCGCAATTCAAAACATGATTCAGCAACTTTTGATTTGAAATTGAGATCCTAGAATGCTGTTTTTCTCGGAATATACAGCTGAAGCTGAGCTGAAACTTCATCAGGTTAGTTGTTAAGCACCCTTCTTCAGATTTTGAGCACTTTTGTTGCTTCAAAAGAACAAAATGCACAAATTACATGTACAAATGATGGACTATATCTTTAAATATGTTAAATCTATGTTACTGTGGATCTGTCACTTGTTTACTACATTTGTGTACTTGTAAGAACAGCGTACAGTACAAAGGCCTACATGTACATACACCCACATACATTGCATGACATTTGGCTTGTGTTTAAGTGAATATCTACATGTATACGGTATCGTAAAATTGCATCATAAAATCCTCAGAAGCAGTCTTAATGATTGAAGAAAACATTGCCCTTTTCATTTGTATGGGTTCATTCTCATTAAATTATGGATTTCTGAAAACTTTGCAAACTAAAGGCTGTACATGTACATCTACAATGTACACAAAAATAGACATGTCCACAGTGCCAAATACGTACATACGTACAAGCTTTAAAGTTCCTTTTCCCACGCTAAATTTAGGGTTCACCTCAAAAACTAGATTTTGTTTTGAAATCTACAGTAGATAGCAATGCAAAAGTTATTCACTGCCAAATGAAACACGGAGCAAAACAAATTTGCCCATTACAGGTTTTGCAAATATTTGCGGCTCGGCAATAATGCAGGCGTATATCGCCTACGTTATGTAAAGCAAGCCAACATAATTTTTAAGCACATTTTCAGAAGTCTGGAAAATAGAAATAGACAAAAAGTAGTGTTTCCTATGTAAAAATCAAACAAAAGGATAATTTCAATAAGCCTTTTCGCAACTCCAATTGCGCGTGTGCGAGATCTACTTGACGCCCAGTTTCCAGAGATGAACAAAGCAGATGAATGCACATGGGGACGTGGTAACTGAATCCACACTTTGCAAATTTTCATACATGTATATAGTTAAAAGGAAGATGGACATTTTTGTTTGCACAAAAGTTGGAGCTTACAAAACAGGGAATATACTGTACAACATTTGCACAACAAAAAAAAAACTACCAAATTATTATGAAATACCTTACTTGACTGTTACAGTGTTAGTGAATGACACCTGGTGTGCTGACATTTTCAAGGAAAGTGGTATGTTTGAAGCCATTTCCAATGCTGGTCGGCCGACCAGCATTGGAAAAAAATGCTCCTTATTTACCATATTTAGTTAGTCCGCATTTTGTTTGCAATCGATTACACTGCTACATGTATGAATGGGTACAAGCCAGCTAGACTGGTTCCCTGACCTTACAATTCCCTAAAGTCTATTAATTGCTACGTTTCATCTTACATGTACGGTAAGTGGGGTCAGGAAACTAGACTACAAGAAAAGGATCGACGAAGACAAAACTTCAAACAAGTCAATATTTGCTATAAAATACTAAGGCCAAAAAATAAAGTCTCCGGTTTCTGGTATGCGCGCGCGTCGCTGTAGCCATGCGCGTCGGCAAAATGAAAAAGTTTTTTTTCCAATGAAAGATGATGTCTCAAAACCGCCAAACTCACTGGTTTGACTGGAATCCTGCTGCTGCACAATTTTAACGTGTTTTTAGACATGTTAGATAGGGTTATGGTCGAGAATAAGCTTTATGTGGCCTCTCTGGTCTCCCATGATATTTGCCTAAGTTTAATCAGGCGCCATTTGCAGTCATCAGCCGACATTTGAAGCAAAAAAAAACAGGTTAAAAAAAAAAAAGCTGCGTCGCCGCACCACTTTTTGGGCAAGTTCCATACCAGAAACTGGAGACTTTTTGGCATGTTTGGGGGGGGGGGCCTAATCCCACAAATCCATCCATTTCTGAAAATTACAGCAAAAGTAAATAATGTACCGGTACATGTTTATTTAATATTATTTTCAAGTAAACTTGAGACCTTGATCCTGATTGGTCAATCCATGGCAACAAGTCGTGCTACATATAACCATGTGCATGGCCACGGTCCATACCGCACTCCGCGTATTGCGCTATTCCAAGATGCGCACACCATTACACGCACCTGTAATAGGATAACTGCTGAAAATCTTTTTAGTGTGTCAAGTTTGCTTGAAGATAAATTCGTTATCACGCTCGCGCTCGTGGAACACGGAAAATTTATGCGTCTGTGTCCCACATGCCACTCGGTCTTTGGCTTTGTGGCGTGTGGGACACAGACGCACTCCATTATTCCGTGTTCCACTCGCGCTCGCGGGATAACTAATAATGTACCGGTAAACTGTTTGTGACAGTGTGATTGATCAAACAATAGGAGATAATGAACTTTGCTCATTTCTCATTTTTCATTTTTGCCTGTGCCATAGATCACCTCATATCCCACGGTCGGATGACAGAGAGGGAAGCAAGACAGAAGTTCAAACAGATTGTTGCAGCCGTCCACTATTGCCACTGTAGAAAGATTGTACATAGAGATCTTAAGGCAGAAAATCTATTACTAGACGCCAATAAGAATGTCAAAATAGCAGGTGGGTATGTTAAAGGGGCGTGCCTTGAGAGTCTGAGGGGGCCATTCACCTTTACCCTTAAAGGATATAAAGTTAGCCTTGGTCAAGGCGTTCAACGATAGTGTCCGATGATCGATGGTTCGGCGCTAACATAAACAGTCAGCTACAATGTACAAGATCAGTTGGTGTAGGCTGCAATCAGTTGGTGCTGACGAACACCTTGGAACAACCATGCGTCTTGGCTTATGTTTGTCTTATTTTGTCGTGGGATTTCCAGCGACAACCCCAAATGTGAATAAAGATGAGATTATTATTCAGTACTTGGTCGTGGAGGCTCATATGTTACATGGATAGAGAGCTGGATAGTGTGGCTGTTTTCTCCAACAAGTTTGGAGTCCTGTGGACAATATAACTCGACATAAATCCAGCGACATAGTAAAGAAAAGTGCCTGAAACAGGCCCTCGCGGCCATTGTTTTAAGGCATTCAATCGGCACTGACTGATTTGCATAGCTGCGTGAGGTTGCTGTTCATGCTTCATATAATATGTTTATTAATGCGCAGCTATTGTACATGTGTTAGCAGCCAATATCAATCATCAGGACACTATCATCGAAAGCCTTGACCAAGGCTAGAATAAAGTTGGATTGTTGAAGAACTGCAAGATTTTTTATTTCTGAATTCTACAGGACGAGCTTTCTCACATTTGAGGTTTCAAAAACCTTGAAAGCTGCATTCTATGTATGGGGCAGTAAACCAGTTAAATTTGAATTTAGAATTTGTTTAATCATATGTGAAAGCTGATATAAACAAAGACATTTTGGGAATAATCGCTATCCAAACACCGGTGAAAATCCCTTAGTCTGGAAGAGCCAATACTGGCCAATAAGAATCAAGATGACAAGCTCTCATAACCGACCCTGATTAGTCACTTTCGCTCTTACATCTGACTGGTATCCTTAGATAAATTTCAAGAAAATAATGTTTAAATATAGCATTTCTTGTCGTTTGTACATTTATAAATGAAATGATGAGCACTTAAGTACAGTGTACAGTGTAGTTAAGGAAAGATTAAAGACATGCTAATCCTTATAATTTGTACAGAAAATCTGTAAACTGGAAAGTGTCTATGAGTAACATCAACGCAACAGCGCCCTCAAGGGTCAAGAAATAGCATGGACATTATGAAACTGTTAAAAAAAAGTGCCCCTAACAAAAATTGGAATAAACTGAAAATAAATGTGCTTCAGTTTCATGTAATTTGGAGAGTAATGTGTAGTCTGAAGTCAGTTTCATGGCTGTTTTAAGTTGCCTGCCTTTGCACTGAGCTCGCTGGATTCTGTTTACGTATTTTCTTTGTTGTTTCAGATTTTGGTTTTAGCAATTTTTTTGAGAAGGGCCAGTTGTTGAAGACGTGGTGTGGGAGTCCGCCGTATGCTGCGCCAGAACTCTTTGAGGGCAGAGAGTATAACGGACCAAAGGCAGATGTCTGGGTGAGTAGTGTTGACTCATCATGGGGGCATGGTCCGACTACACGCTGTGTCCTTGGGCAAGCCACTTTACACCTACTTGCCGAAGGCAAATGTAAGGCCGATGTGAGGCTGATGTAAGGGTGTGTCAAGTTGTAGTACAGAGAGTGTGTGGCCAAGTGGTTAGGGTTTGTGACTTCCAATCAGAGGGTGAGGGTTTTGAATCCAACATACCAACTGCTGACTATGCCATGCCCTTGGGCAAGCCACTTTACCCTTACTTGCCTAAGGCAAATGTAAGGCCGATGTAAGGCTGTTTTAAAGGGTGTGTCAAGTTGTAGTACAGAGGGCGTGTGGCCAAGTGGTTAGGGTTTTAGGGTGTGTGACTTCCAATCAGAGGGTCAGGGGTTTGAATCCAGCTGCTGACTATGCCGTGTCCTTGGGCAAGCCACTTTACCCCTACTTGCTTAAGGCTGATGCAAGGGTGTGTCAAGTTGGGGTACAGGGGGTGTGTGGCCTAGTGGTAAGAGTTTGTGATTCCCTATCAGAGAGTCTGGGATTTGAATCCAGCTGCTGACTGTATGCTATGTCCTTGGGCAAGCTACTTTACCTCTACTTGCCAAGGGTTGTTGTTTAAGGGGAAGTGTAGCCTAGCTGGAGGTATAACGTTTGTGATTAATGGGGAAAGGGCCAGGTTTCCATCACATCACAAAGGGTCAGGTAGCCATCATATTCGAAAATATGACATGACGTGGCAAAGCTGCCTCCTATGAATGCACACATGCACTTCAGGTACAAAATCTGCATTGGCCATGTAATAACAGATACTTGGTAATATGCCTGGCACAGACATTTTTAAATGCAAGAAACAAATTGATGAATTCAAACATTTCAAAACCGATAACAACCATGACACTATTGACAGGAATTTTGTTGGTAAACAAACGTACGGCCTGAAATACCCAAGCTATCTCAAACCTTTCCGAGTGTCAGCGATATATAAATTTGGTAAAACTAAGGACATTTTTTGGAAACAAATAGGATCCTGACTGTTATTGGTCGTGTCTATTTTTAAGCTGTGGCGGCTACCGCGCCTAAGATTTGTCAGAATAGTTCAAATATTTTGGACAGGGAACCAGACCATCACGCCTTCTGTGATATTGGTTTCTATGGGTGATGACAGTTTGTTTCACTCTAATTGGCTGATAATTAATTTCCATGGTTCTTTCTTTTTGTCCAACACTCCCATTTGCAGAGTCTAGGGGTTGTCTTGTATGTACTAGTGTCAGGTGCTTTGCCGTTTGACGGGCCCACGTTACAAGGTCTGCGCTCGCGAGTCTTGTCGGGACAGTTTAGGGTACCTTTTTTTATGAGCCCAGGTAAGAAATATGTCATGATTGTGATTGTGATTGACTTACGATTGACTTGTGATTGGCATTTTACTGACGTGTGATTGGCATTTTACTGACGTGTGATTGACATTTTACTGACGTGTGATTGACATTTTACTGACGTGTGATTGACATTTTACTGACGTGTGATTGACATTTTACTGACTTGTGACTGGCTTGTGGTGTGCCTTTGGACTGACCTGTGACTGGCTTGTGATTAACAAGCGATTTGAATTGTGGTGATTTGTGATTGACCTATGATTTATTTATGATTTGTGCTGCAATTGAACTTGTGATTGACATTTTATTTACTTTTAATTGATATTTTACTCACTTGTGACCAACTGGTGATCGACTTATGATTGACTTGTGGTTGACTTACCAGTGACTTGTGATTTGACAATTTACTGACTTAAAACTGACATTCTACTGACTTTTGAGTGACCTTTGACTGGCTTGTGATTATTAATGGATTTGAATTGTGATGTCTTGTGATTAACTTGTGATTGAGTAACGATTTTCCCTGCGCTTTAACTTGTGATTGACATTTTACTGACTTGTGATTGACTTGTGATTGTGATGCGACTTTTGACTGACCTTTGACTGACTGAATGACCTGTCCTTGTGATTGACTTGTGTTTGCGATGCGACTTTTGACTGATCTGTGACTGGCTTGTGAACATTATGCGATTTGAATTGTGATGACTTGTGATTGGCATTTTACTAATTTTTGACTGGCTTTTGATTCACTTACGATTTAGTTGTGATTCACTTACGATTTACGTTGTGATTCAACTTGTGACCGACGCTATGGATTTGGGATGTGACTTGTGATCGACTTGTAATTTGACTTCCAATTGAATCGCATTTGACTTGTGATTGACTTATGACTGTGACTGGCTTGTGATTAAGATGGGATTTGAATTGATGACTTGTGATTGACTTGTGATTGAATTATGATATGTCCTGTGGTTTAACTTGTAATTACCATTTTACTGATATGTGACTGGCTTTTGATTGACTTCCGATTGACTTGTGATTGACTTGTGATTTGACATTTTACTGACTTGTGATTGACGTTCTGACTTTTGACAAAAGAACTTGTTATTGCTTTTTGATTGACTTGTGACTAATAGTAATAATAATAATAATAAGTAATAATAATATCTTGATCTTGATATCCTAACCATTCCTCTCCCCTGTAGAATGTGAACAGCTCATACGACACATGCTGGTCTTAGATCCCAACAAGCGTTATAACACGGACCAGATCCTGGGCCACAAGTGGACCAAGACCGGCGAGCCGGACACCCCCTTTGACGACATGATCGCGGAGTACGACCAGCTTGCCACAACGGTGAACGGGCCGGATCCAATCAACGAACTCATCGTCCAACATATGGTGTCCCTTGGGATTGAACGGGACCTCATCCTACAGGTCAGGGGCCAACGCTTGCTTAGAAAAAAACATTTGCTCATCAACCACATGTTACCTAGTCTATGTAATAGAATGATACATGTATGTGAGCAGATTCGCTGATTAATTAGGCAAGACCCGGCCTCTTGACCTCGCCTCTTGACCTCCTAGATTTTGACCAATCAGCGGGCGCTTTCTATATCGGGTTTTCCGTCATTCACCGGTTGCGCGTCATAGACAATGGATTAAAAAGCCCTGCGTCAAGCGCTCGGTATCATGTTACAGGATAACGCTCCCGGCTGTCGTTGCATTACAAAACACTGCATTTGAATTGACCAATCAAACGTTTAGTCCTGATTTGGGAATGAAATGACGTCAAGATTTAGTAAAGTCGACTCCGATTGGCTGAGGCGCGAGAAATCGCATAAATCTTTATGCTTTGATATATCAGACGTTAGACAGGAGTCTGGGCTCCGTGGATAACGGGTGATACTCAGACTACAGGTTACCAGCGAAAAACATCATGTGGGCAATTCCACTCGAAAGTTGACACCGCTAAAAAGTGGAAACTGTATGAAATCTTCCAAACTACAAGCATCACAACATCAAATAGGGTGTCAAGTTAAAGGGGCCAACAAATTCTTTCATTTGAGTGGTGTGTCAGTGAGATGGCATGTAGTTAAGTGTGATTTGGGGTAGATAAAAACCTGTTTATTTGTGTTCAAATCATGGATTTTTGGTAGTCACTTTGGCATGTTGTTTTTTTACATGCAAAATGTGACTGTTACTGAGAGTTTTTGTGTTTAAGGCGGAGAGAAAGATTCATATCATTTATTTATCTTAGATTCATAAGCTCATTTGTTAGGATAAAAAAAACGTTAATTTGTTGAAAAGTACTAATTGTTGGTTGGGTCATTTGTCAGTTTCCTTGGCATGATAACCAATTTGTCTATTTTTCCTTGCAGTCCTTGAGCGGCAAAAGCTTTGACCAATTCAGTGCAATCTATCACCTCTTCCTCGACAAGTTAAAACGCCACCAAAAATCCAATTCCCACCCTCACGACAAGAGTCGAATGGCCGCCGCAACGACTACCAGTCCATCACCATCACCAAGCGAGGGCGGCACATCAGACGGAATCGCGTCCATGTCGTCAGTTTCGTCGATATCATCAGGTGGGGGGCGGAGGCAGGGCTTGTTGCCCGGAGCGATACCCCAAGTGCGCTTCACGAACGAAAACGATCAGATTATCATTCAGGTAAGCACAAATGCGTAAATGTTAAGCTATCCTGGGTCGACTTTGCGATGACAAAGAACAGTTGGCGACTGACTTTTCAGGATCAAGCAGCACCTGAGCTGTGACTGTCGGGAACATATCAGTCACCCATTTTGTGTCTCCTGAGTGTACATGTGTAACTGCGATGATATGGAGATGATCATCATCAGTTGGCACTGAAAAAAAAACCAGTCCGAAGAGTTGAAAAATTTTACCTTCTGCGCAGCAATGGAACATGTTTCTGATAGGCGGGAATCAATCGCAGTTGACCGGTGAAGTTACGACGTCATGCGCGCATATGGAACGTCTTACTTGACATGAGCATTGTTATGATTGATCTGTGTCAAGATAATAATACTGGAGTCTTATTAAGCGCATGTATCTACCAACAATGAGGTTCTGAAGGCGCTGGAAATTATTAAAGACAGGTAAGTGAAGTGTATGAGAAATGTGAGACCAACTATGTAGTACCTTGAAAGGGTCTACAAGGTGCTGCGGCGCATATTGCAGCTGTTTGCTTCACAAGAAAAAGACAATTGCTCAGTTAAGTGACCTGTTTTTCCCATCTGCTCAGTCTGACCAACCAGTGGATGTAGACAGCGATCCTGAGGAACCGTGCCCAGAGGCCCTAGCTCGCTACCTCCAAGTCCGGCGGCATACCCTAGGCCCGGCAGACCCAAGCCAGGAGGTTCCAGACCACCTGAAGATGAAGCTTATGCCGGCTCAGCATGCCAATCCCAGTACCGAGGGGGGCAGCTTTGGCCAGCATCACCACCTTCTACCTACCTTGACTCCCGTGGTGCTTAACACTAACCTGCCCATGAACTTGCCATTGATGACTGGGCTCAATCAGCCAGAACAGCTTGTCACCTATAAGGTAAGGGGCTGCTGGAGGGGTTGGACAGGGCGTGTTTAGGTGGGGGGTATCTGATGGGTTTAAGGAAGAGAAATATCTGGGTGCAAAAGGGACAAAGTGGGGCACTCACTGAGCTTGAAATGGGTATGGGTAGATAACTGGGGATTGTGAAGGGGAAAGGTATGGGCTCTCGCTGGATAAGAAGGGGACAAGGAGGGGTACTCACTGAGCTTGACGGGGGATGGGTAGGGAACTAGCTGGGTGTGAAGGGGAAAGGTATGGGTTCTCGATGGGTGGGAAGGGGCAGAGTAGGGAGTTGGCTGAGTGTTGAGCAGGTAAGGTGGGAGACTGTCTGAGGGAAAGCAGGGGGACTGCTAGATGTGAAGGTGGTGGTGGTACTGGCTTTGTGCGAAGGGGTTGAGATGGGAAACTGGCTGGGTGCGATGGGCGTAAGATGGGGGAACTGGCTGGGTGTAAAGAGGGTAAGATGGGGGAACTGGCTGGGTGTTAAAGAGGGTAGGATTGAGGAACTTGCTGGGTGTGAAAGGGTTAGAAGGGGAAATAGCTGGGTGCAAAGAAGGTTTTGGGGGATCTGCTGGATGAAAAGGGGTCAAGGTGGGAGATGTGCTGCCTGCAAGGGGTCAACGTTGGGGGCAGTGGCTGGGTTTGGAGGAGAATGGTAGGGAACTGCCTGGGTTTAAAGGGGTAAGGTGGAAAACTGCTGGGTGTGAGTGAAGGGGGTAGGATGGGGGTGTTGGCAAGATATCCATTGTGGCTAAATCTCTGTTCCAGGAACAAAATCTTCTGAAGCCGCCAGCTCTGGAGGCCACGGGGGGTCACAACAGCTTCAGTCGTCGGGCGTCGGATGGTGGCGCCAACATGTACTTACACTTGCAGCAGTTTCAGAACCAGTTTCTCAGCAAAAGAACAAGCCAGCCAGTCAATGTGGACCTGACTGGACAGGTGAGGCCATGACAACACAATTGTGTTTGCTGAGTTTGACTATTGGTGTTTAGATGATTTCTTTTTAGATATGGACATGCATGAACCAGTGTTGTAGTCAAGTGCATTTCCACGAGTATGAGTACGAGTAGTTTGTCAAGAGTACGAGTACTTTGACATGAGTTAGGAGTATGAATATTATGCAATGAGTATGAGTATGACTACAAGTACTTTGCCATCAGTACGAGTATGAGTACGAGTAGTTTTTCATGAGTACGAGTATGAGGAGTATTTTGTCATGAGTACGAGTATGAGTACAAGTATTTTGCCACGAGTACGAGTATGCCATGAGTACAAGTATGACTACAAGTACTTTGTCATGAGTACTAGTATAAGTACGAGTACTTTGTCATGAGTACGAGTATGAGTGCAAGGCAGTTTTTTTCCATGAGTACGATAATGAGTACCAAAAAAATGTACTCGGTTACAAGTACCTTTCCATGAATACAAGTATGTGTATTTTGACATAAGTACGACTATGAGTGTGGTATTTGGCCATGAGTACGAGATTGAGTATGAGTATTTTGTCATGAGTATGAGTACTTTGTCATGAGTGCAAGTGTTGTGTCATGAGTAGGAGTATTCATTAGTATTTTGCCATGAGAGTGAGTACGAGTATGAGTACTTTGTGATGAGTATGAGTACAAGTACTTTGTCATGAGTAGGAGTATTCATGAGTATTTTGGCATGAGTATAAGTACGAGTATGAGTATGAATACTTTGTCATGAGTATGAGTACAAGTACTTTGTCATGAGTTGAGTATTCATTATCATTTTGCCATGAGAACGAGTATGAATACAAGAACTTGCCACAAATACAAGTATGAGTGCAAGGCACTCACACGTCATCCAATTGCCAGTCATGTCACAAAGTACATGTATTATGACAAAGGCATTCCTTGGCCAATGATCATGCCCTGTTGATTGTAACCGGACTTCAATGTATGATTTAACCTGTGATTCTCCTGTGATCTGACTTGTGATGAATTGGACTACAACATTGTTTCTTCGTAGCCAAGTCTGGGTATTTTGTGGCTGTGGCATTGGTTTTGCCATTGACATCCTAATAAGAGAAGCCGTAGTTGTAGAGAACATTGACGTTCAGGACTTAGCCTTACCTGTATAACTATCTGGTCTGTCCTTGTAGACCTCAGGGGAATCGTTACAACAGAGACTACCGCCGGTCTCAGCGACAGGCGTACCAGAGGAGGCGGAGAACTCGGACGAAGAGGAGCCTGACCAAGAAGAAGTTCAAAGGTCAGTGGGGGTCAACTGACTTGAAATACTGGTATCAGTTGAAGGATTCTTAACAACTTCCCTGGAAAAATTCCTGTGATGAAGTTATCAATAAGCATTCTTCCTCGCTAGAAGATTCTGGGGAAGCTGTTCAGAATCCTGCAACAAATACGACAGGCCTATTGCAGATTAACTTTTCTGCAACTTCTCCTGGATATTTTTTGAGATGACTCCTTACCCTTGGCAGAGTGGCAGATTGTAATGGGATGGAGAATTTAAAAGCAAAATTGGGACGCTGATCGGGAATTTGCAACAGGCAAACAAAACCCTGGCAATGCGCCTGCCTGGGTCCAAGGACTCCCAATTTAGCGACCACCCGCGAATGCTTTGACATATGAAAGTACAAACCAGAGCTTGGAGGTTGTTGCATGCAGAGATTGGCGGCAAAAACTCAACATACTGTGCTCTTTTTTGAGCTTACTGACATCTGAAACCCCCCGACCCCAGCCTATTTTCAGATTTCTTTCCAAAAAGCCAGTTTCATCACTACCAATCTTTATCTGAATGTTGCAAACCTGATGCAGTGTGGTACAGTGCATCACATGCTGCTCCATTGTAATATTAGTATTTTGTGTGACAGTAGTAACTTGATCATGTGACCATTCTAGACCAATGGAATGCAGCATCCAAGATGTGATTCAATAATGGAAATTCTTTGCTCTCCCAGGTATCTAAGGAACAGAGGCGGTCGCTTCAGGCACACGCTCTGCTCCGAAGTGCCCTCACATGACCTACAGGAAGAGCTGCGACGGAACCTCATACCGCAGCCAATCAACGTCCCCCAGCGTTCGTCCCGGCGGGAGCGTTTCCACGTCCCGCCTGATCGCAACCCTCACATGCGAGACATGAGTTTATACCCGCCGGCCAATTACGTCTACACGCGCCGGGCCTCGGACGGCATGCCCAACTTACATGCCTTCAAGGCCCATCTAGAGAGAGTGGCAGCCGGGGCAGCGTCAGGTGGGGGTGGAAGCAGCTCCGGAAGCCAGAAAAGCTCACTCAAGCAACTGCACAAGGAGTACCACCAACTACAGAAGCAGTGCTCACCGGTCGACCCAAAACTACAGGAGCTCCAACAGGCTCAACATCAACTACACAAGGAGAAGATGCTGAACCAGGTAACCCCGGCAACTGCATCCACAGCCCCAGAAGATGAGGAAGCAAAGAGGCAGAGAGAGCAAGAGGAAGATGATGAAGTGTTCTTCCAGTACCACAATCGCTACAGTCGGCGGGGCCAGTCCGCCGTGGTCCCTCCCCAACCCCTGACAGTATGTGATGGTGACGATGGGTGCAATCCGGGTATCGCTTGTAGGTCTTTCTCACCCGCCCCTAACAGCATTGGTACCATGACATTCAGGCTTCCACATCTCATGGGCAGGGCATATTAACGCAAGTCACACAAGTCAAAAAGCTGTCTCTCCATAAACACATTTTCAGTCCACTTTGTGTCCAGAGATTGGCTTCAGAGATGTCATTGAGTCAGTCAGAAATCTCCACAAGTCAATCACAAGTCATCCGTTCTCAACTCAAATGAGCTGTGACAAGAAACATATTCCTTTTGTCATTGTTCATTCACTGTTACTTGTGTCCTGACTTGTTGCTTAACTTATGACTGACTTTTGACTAAAACTTTACCTTGGCCTATTTCTAAAGTACACAAAACAGATTGAAAAATGCAGTTATGGAAAGGTAGCCTTAACTAAATCAAAAGTTCATGACCAACCAAAAGTTATTTTAAATCAGACGTTGCTTTTGCTTGTCTCTTGCCCTTTTTTACACAATGGGTATCTTCTCAGACATACAAACACATCTTTCACACTGCTTTCAAACATCACTACATGTATTTTGGGACTTTTCCCCAGCTATCATATTCACTCACGAATAAAACATTCACCTTTCAATCAAATTTTATTCTTGGTGTCAGGTAGACAAAGAAATCACTTTTTGTCCTGTCACATGTTTGCTATCATAATTTGAAAATTTTATTTGAGATTAACATTCCCATATAACATTATGATTACATTGGTATTAAGATATACATTGGGCACATGGATGCATTGCTCTCCAGTGAAGCATTCCGTTCCATGCTAAAATCTGTTCATTGGGCTTCACACTTCTATCTGTTCAAGTCCCATGTTCATGCTTGGAAATGGCAATTTTTCAGGTTTTTTCCCCCACATATTTGTTTTTCAAGTTTCAAGTGTAAAGTGTTCCCTAAATGTGCACAGTGGACAGGACATCTTGAGACACCAAAAGAGCGAAGACAGCGAAAGGCTGAGTTGCAGGGGAAATCCTTGAAAGACATTTCATAGTCAGGTGGCATATGGTCGGAATCGTGACCGGCTGGTCCAAAGCACGAAACTTGGCAGATAGATTCTTATAGACCTAGAGAAGATATTTAGAAGGGGTGACACCTGAAATTCTTTTGGGAAGGGTGCCTAATTTTAATCGTTAATCCCTGCAGTGTAATATATATTTTCCCATATTTGGGTATATTTTTATTTTTTTATTTTTTTGAAAAGTGTATTTTGGTGATTCTACTTGCATATTCTTACTTCAATAACATTTTGTAAAGCATGTAAGTGACTGAATAATTATGAGGACATAGTAACGATCCAAAATGGCTACTATTTTACCCTAAAGTTACGCGCATTTACCTTTTCCTCAGATATCATCAACTAGTCTCGCCAAACGTGGGTATTGTTGAGCTTCAAATTCACAAAGTTTCTTACTGACATAGTTAACCTAAAAAAATAAGTGGGAAATCATGTGGAAATTGATATCATCTTGATGTTTGGCCCAAAAGACCAACTTAAAAGGGAGAAAATGTGGTGTCCGTAAATTGGGCTACTACGGGAAGGGTAACGTGGGGACTTGAACAAGTTCAACAAAATCCCCCCAAATAAGAGATTATTGTTGTTTACAATAATGTTGTCTACGCCAAAATGTTTTCTCAACAATAATTTTTGGAATTTCCTTGAACTTGTTCCGGTCTTCCATGTTAGGCAACCCTTCACCTTACGTGTTAGCCCAATTTATGGACACCTCGTTTTTTCCCCACTTTTTGTTTTCTGGGCTAAATACCACAATGTTCTCATTGTTCACATGATTTTGCATAAGGTTTCAATAGGGTAACTGTACCAGTAAGGCTACGTGGTGAATTTGAAGTTCATCAATGCTGATGTTTGGCAAGACTAATTGATGATATCTGGGGACAAGGTAAATGCGCGCAATTTAGGGCTTAATAGTAGCCATTTTGGATCGTTACTATGTCCTCATAATTATTCAGTCACTTATATGCTTTGGAAAATGTTATTTAAGTAAAGATATGTAAGTAGAATCCAAAAAATACACTTTCCAAAAAAATAAACTATATACCCAAATATGGGAATAAATATATTACACGGCAGGGATTAACGATTTATGCAAATTAGGCACCCTTCCCAAAAGAATTTCGGGTGTCACCCCTTCTAAATATCTTCTCTAGGTCTATAAGAATCTATCTGCCAAGTTTGGTGCTTTGGACCAGTCGGTCATGATCTTGACGAAAATTAGATCTAAGCCACCTGACTATCAGGGAAAGAAAATGAAACCTAACTTAAAAAAGAAAGAAAGTCACACACACAACTCTGATACATATTACCCGTTTGTGGGATACGAACCCAAGCCAAATAGGTAGATAACGAACTTGGAGGCTTTCTGAACTCTAGGTGGCAGCAGATAATATATTTGTAAAATTATTTTATATTGACCACTTCAGAATAGAAATTTTAACTTTCATAACTTCAAATGCCAATCAAAATATAGCCCACTGTCAGAAATAAGAAATGAGTTGCAACAGAAACATTGTCTCGTTCCACAGCATGGTGGTGTTAAGTCAATTTACCTCACCCTCCAAAAAATAAAAGTGTATTTCCAATTATTTCTCCTGATACATTTGCTATCAATCTTGGGTCCTTCACTCGTACGCTCGCCCTTCAAATAGGGCGCTGGGAAGGGCTGAAGAGCTTCACAGAATCTTGCGAAGGAAGTGGGCATTCTGGGTAACTTATCATGACCTAGCTAACTGGGCGCAAATGTTATCCGAAAACTTTCTCATAGAAATGCATACATTCCATACCAGATGTGATTTCTTTTTCATTGCAGACCATGTGGACAAATTTGGGTGTCCCATACTATGCAGTTGGACCCTTCGTGAATTTGAAACAGGGCCTGAGCAAGTGACGAGAATTGAAAATTTACAAAATGGTTTACAAAATCTATCCAATCAGAGCTGAAATTCAACAGCGGTTCTTAGCGTGATGTTTGCAGGGCGCAGGGTACGAGCGAATCTTGGGTCCATGGTGCAGCTGCTATGTAACACACACACAAACCAGAAAGGAAATCGTGTTGAAACGGTACACTAACGCAGCATTAATAATCAGCTTGGGTGCTTTGTGACTCTCGGTGGCAGCAGATTTTTTTTTAATTAAGCTTTAGGTCGTGTCAAATCATACTTTTTTTGGTATCTCAAAACAACTACAGTTTTTCCTCACACTACCAATCTAGCCAAAGACACCTAAACTGGAAGCTTGTTGGACTCTTGTCTCTTGGTGGCAGCAGATATATCTGTCTTTATATTTTTTTTTAGTATGGTTTTAGGCCATATCCGAATCAGATGGTTTTTTTTTTAGATTTCGTCACACTACAGTTTTCTCTATGTTGTTAATCTTTAGCTGTAGACTATGGCCGTAGATGATGACTTACCCGAACTGGATCCTTGTTGAACTCTTGGTGGCAGCAGATATATTGGCCCAACTTGTTTTTGTGATGCCATAGAGGCAACAGACATTAGATTTGTCATGGTTGTTTTTTGTGTGTGAGATGCGTGAGGATGTTATGCGGTTGTCAAGTTACCATAACTGTGTTTGTATGGAATACCTAGACAATAACCCAAGACAAGGAATATGTGGTCTAGGATTGTCACCTACCAGAACTGCAGGGTTTTTGGACACTTGGTGGCAGCAGATATTTTGGTTCTCTGTTGGTTTTTTGTTGTTGTGTTACTCATATTTGAAGTTCTCCCCGAGTATCAACCTAGGCCTGCTGTGCTTTTGGTAGCAATATTAATTTTGGTTCTCCGTTGAGCTTTTTGTGGTACAATGGTATTAAAAAGTGAAAATTCAATTAACTGGAAGTTGTAGACTCTTGGTGGCAGCAGACAGTTCGGTATATTTTTTGTCTAGGTAATGCTTTGGAGTTTTCAAATCTTTGCTTCACTTTCGGCTTCGGCTTTGCCCCCGACTTCTGAATCACTGAGAGGCAAACGTAACAAAAATATTCTAACTTTTGGCTTCACATGAGCCGGTTGAATGTTCCCGAGGCATAACATGCACTGAAATGAAGCTGGAGTCACGGAAGTTGGGGCCTAAAATCTCCTTAGGAGGAAGCCAAAGCCAGTTGTTTCAAAAAGTCCGTTTGTCAGAATTACTTGGCTGAGGCTTGAAATTAAACGCATGTCAATACAGGCGATTCACTATGTAGTGCGCCACCAAGAGTCTGTCATGGAGAGTCCATTTTTCAAGTTTATGGTCGACAAAAGCTGGCCCATTGAGCGAGGGTCAGTAGACAACTTAAGCTATATTTGTTAAAGATTGGAGCATAGCGTTGCTGCCTTACAAAAACACCATATTGATATAAAAAAGGGCAAACAGATACTTGAATTATAGGCATACGAAGCTATTGACTGGAAAAACTAACAATTTCAAATGTCCTGCTCTACTAACTTGTGGACGATCTTCCACAATAAACGGGAAAAATGAACTCTCTGTGGCAAACTCTTGGCAGGGCACTGCATTGTGAGTCGTCCAAATTGGAAGCAGCTTCAACTGGCTGCGGCTGCTTACCATTACCACGTGTATTTACAAGCCATAGCAAGATAAATACATATGGTTAAATTCACTGAGGCTTGAGGCTTTATGGACTCTTGGTGGCAGCAGACATTTCCTATATCACCAGTGTTATATGATCGTAAAATTTCACTGTTTTTTTTTTAACACTTTGTGGCAGTCTACTCCATTTGTGTTTAATGCAATGGCATCACAAATCAAATTTCGCCCAGTTGGTGGCTTTTTGGACTCGTATTGACAGCAGACAAGGTTTTCACCCCATTTTTTTTTTATTAATGTCACAAGACATTTTGGACTCTTGGTGGCAGCAGACAGTTTGTATCTTTTTTTGTGAGTTATCAAAGTTGAAAGTTCACAATGCTCACTGTTGCAGTATTCAT